AAATATACAGTCAATTAATTCACTTTACAGTATATTCTGTGAAGCACTTTGAGACGCCTTGATGATGTGTTAAGGCGCTCTATCAAATGCAAGAAGTGAACTACTTTGGAGTGCTGATGCATATAGATCTCTATTGGGTTACAACAACAACTTGCATTTACAAAGTGCCTTCACATAGGATAACAAAATATACAGTCAATTCACTTTAGATTTAAAGACATTGAGAGGCGGCGAGCCAGAGCCAAAAGTGACTAAGTATCAGTCTTCCTTAGCAATACAATAGTGTGATTACCATTCCTTGGGTCTACGTCCACTCCCACCCCTGACTCCATCAGCTGAAGCCAGTAACCAGCACTCCCTGGGCCAGCAATCTAACGCTGAGCACTACAGAATCCAATGAGTCCCGCAGGCCACCCTCAGGCCCAACTAAAGTGATGGAGTTGGGGAGGTGAGGAAAGTTCAACAACAACTTGCATTTATATAGTGCCCTTCACACCAGGTAGTGTGCCAGAGTTAGAACCAGAACTCTCTGGAGTTGAATCTAGGTCAATCTCCTCAGCCCTATACATATTGAAGATAATCAAATGAATGTCAGTGAAAGCACAATGTGACACAGTATCAAAATCTATTCATTAAAAAGCCAACTATCTTACATATCACTCATTCCTGTTGCCTTGAACTTGTGAGCATGGAGACCCACATTTGGTAGCAGTAACACATATGGAGAATAGACAGAAACCGGTAAAATGACTTAACTGTGTTTGGAAGATTTACTATTCTCTTTTGAAGGAAAGAGCAGATTAGTACAATACAGACCAATTTGGAAAGATGTACTGAACTTTTTTTTGGCTTGGTCAAATTTTCTCCTCCCTCCTCTTCTGACCCACAAAACATCTATAATACAATCAATATTGCACCAATAACAGTTTGTTCTTGAGTTTTGTTTCCACATATCAAAAGCTCACAGAATGAATCAATAAATTATGAGGACTTTCTCATATAGGAAAGTAGCTGTACCTGTTGCAGATTCCAAAGGATCTAATATGAAATGCAGATTGACACACAGACAGACATTTTGTCTTTATCTATACTCATCTGGGAGGACTCCTGTGGGAGGACTCATTTTGGGAGGACTCAGTAAGAGGACTTGGTGCTTTAAAGATGTAATTTTGTTGTTGTTGTTGCCTCGGCTAAGCTCCGTCTGTGTTCTTTATTTTGTTCCCGACGCTAGGCTACGTGCATGCTCTGTGACGCAGGATGCCACTGCGCCACGGTCAGCCAGTGCAGCCACCAGGTGTAAGTGCAGTATGTGCGTACATACGTAGGTGCTCTGTGATGCATGATGGCACAACGCCACTTTGACTCGGCAGCCACCAGGTGTAATTACAGCGAAAAACGTAAAACTCACAAATGATAGGAGATAGCTGAAAACAAATATGCACATGTCACTTCCAGTTGTAAGACCTTTCCGATGAGGTATAAATCATGTCTCTACATCGATCGGTTATTGAGATCCTTCTGGAAGCGCAGACAGACATTGTCTTTTTATTAGTATAGATTATCCAAGTGATGCACCTCTATTGGCAGAATATTTTACTCATATCTATGGCAGTGGTAACATATCAAAATGGTGGTTAGAAACAATATTTTACATTTTATATATTAAAATATTACTGTAAAAAATTTCATAGGAATAAAATGCAAGCACTAGTTGTTTCCATGGCAATTGTGATTTGCAAGGTATATTGCGATTCTGCCTTTAGTTTATTATTCTTGTGATATGAGTGGGTTGGATGCGGAGCACTTTTCATGTGTTTTGAGGAGAAACACTGATGTAAATCCAAGGTCCACAGTGCAGGGATTAGCAGAGAAAACAAAATAAATTAAGGTTAGTAGTTAGGCTTTTCTATCAAGCTTTTCCTTTAAACACCTGCAGATTAATAAAAGGAAGGGAAGACCAAGGGGTAAGAGTGTAACGCTCTTGAGGTCCTGGGAAAGAATGATTTAAAGCAGTGGTGGCAGTGGTCAAGAAATATTCAATCAAGAAACATTTATTTGTTGGCCAACCAAAGAGGTTGCCCCTCACTGATTTAAAGTGAACAGTATAAGTGAAACAATTCTCTCAAAGTGGGGACAGGCGAGCGTGGATCAGGCAAGGACATTCGAGACAATAGTTACATTGCAGCCGTTTGACTGAGAGATGTGTGTCATGCATGTGCAATTTTTTTTAAATTTTGGCTTGTGTGAAATAACAGTATTGAAACCAATAGTAATTTTGTTTTGTATGCAAATGTGGCAGTCATCTGTGCCAGCAGGGTCACATTGATAGCCATAAATCTGAAGGATTAAACTGGCATCAATGGTATAGAAGACCAGGACCCTTTCCCACCCACTGTCCATCATGGGTAAATAAAAAGTCAGTGATTCCATGTAAATACTTTCCTAGTTTACTTTCATAAAAATAAAAAGTGTGAAAATGCTCTCTCCTTCAATCCATTCAAAAAGCCCAATAAATGTGTTCTGGTAACCCTAGTGATGAAGTGCTCTGAAACAATTGTATGTTTATTTAAATAAGAGCACGATGTTGCCATGTTTTTTCCTCTGTACTGTTAGAAACTATGAGTTAAAGCCTTGAACACGTAAACATCCATGTGAAAGCTGTGGTTGTTCTTCACACTGTTCTGTGTGACACGTAGTGGGTGGAAGACGAGCCTGAAATTATAAACATTTATTTCTAAAACATAACCAGCAGATAATTATCATCTAAGAGCCTGAGATCTCGGAAGGACAAGCATTTTTGTCCTCATTAGGATAAGGAATGACATTATGTGCCACGTGTAAACCACATGTAAACACATTTGCACATCATTTTACACATGGCACATAATAGACCCCAATTACAAAAAAGTAACACTTCTTTGTGAATTGCCTTTTGAAAAATACAAGAGATCTTTTTTCTCTGTTATTACCTTCTTCCTCCACATCTCATTGTTATAAATCTGTTTTATTTACAATATATATTTCTTTAAAATGTACTGATGCTAGAGAAAAGGTAAATCGCACCATCAATTTTAAGGCTTAAATAATACTCACTTGTTTGGGCAACGAAGACCCTTTGGCCCATCAGGACCACATTCTTCCAGAATACCTTCCGTCTTCCCATCACAGCTTCAAGCTGTTTTTTAAATAAGTCCAGTGTCCTGGCCTCAACTACCCATCCTGGTAACCTGTCCTGGTTGTTGATTCCCACTCCTCTACCCGACAACTTCACTCAGCTGCTCAGGTCTTCTGCACATCCTTCGACCCTCTGCTCCGCAACTAGCAGCCGTGTTTTCAGCCACTATGCTCCAAATCTCTGGAATTCCCAGCCTCAATCCCTCCATTTTGCCCCCACTTTGCCAGACTTCAAATCACACCTGAAGGCTTTCTTCTTTGACCATGCCTTTGGTCACCTCCCCTGCCTTTCCAGCTTGGCATCAAGCCATACCATTGCAAAGCTCTCTGAGACGCTTTCCCACTCAGAGAAAGCCATTACATGAATGCAGGGTTTTGTTGTTGTTAATAGCATCTGAGTAAAGAAAAACTTCCTAGTGTCTGCCCTGATATTACCCTCTGCAACCCTGAACCTGTGTTCTCTTGTTCTGCTGGCTTGGTGTATCTGGAAGCATTGTTCTGGGTTTACTTGGGCTCAGTGGTTAGAGCACTCGCCTCGCACTTGTTTGTCACGGTCACTCACAAAATATACAGTCAATTCACTTTACAGTATATTCTATGAAGCGCTTCGAGACATCTCAAAGATGTGATAAGGCGCTATATCAAATGCAAGGATTATTAATATTATTACTTTCTCAATCCCATTTAAAATCTTATATACCTTTATCAGGTTGTCTCCAAGGCATTTCTTTTCAAGGCTGAAGACCTAGCTTGTCCATTTCAAACTAAATTACATCGGGTGGATAAACCTCATTCATTAATTTAATTATAACATTGAATAAATCGAGAAAACTACTAACATGTGACATATTACTTTTCAAAGCATGCTGAATATTTATGGGGCTCTGTGTTCTTTGGATGAATATTCGTGACATCCAGTACAATGTTCAGCACAGATGTTAAACTAAGTGGTCTATAATTCATTGAATCATGCCACTCTACTTTGCTGAATAGCAGTGTCCTTCAACAAGATCACCCTGCAGTCCTCAGGTTCAAATCTAGTGTTTATTAAGCTTCTGATAAAATTACCCAGAATAATTGACATATGTTGTATTGAAATTCATCAGTGTGTTACTTATCACCTGTCGTCATTGAAGTGACAGCTGGAATTCAAAAAACAGACAAAAAACATCTCATGTGTCCTTCGGATCAGACATTAAACTAAGGTCCCGTCTACCTTTTCAGCTTGATATTAAAGATCCCATTGGCACTATTCAAAAAAAGAAGGGAGGTTCTCCAGGTGTCCTGGCCAACAATTCCCCAAAATAAAATGGTCACTCAGGCCGTGGCTATTTGTGGGAAATTGCTGTGCAACTCAGCACTCAAATTAGCCTCAACACAAAATACACGGACAATTAATCCAATTTACAGTATATCCTGTGAAGCGCTTTGAGACATGATAAGGCGTTACATCAAATGCAAGGATTATTATTTTAAAAATTGCAGGACATATTGAACAATGTGGCTTTCTTCAGCCATGTATCAGCTTGATTGCATTTAGTTGATCTCAGCAGGGCCTGTACTCAGGCACTCAAATTAACCTCAATACTTTGGGACAAGGAAAGCCAAAAATCATCTGGCTTCGGGATCATAGGAACATAAGGGTAAAAACTGTAAAGTTGCATAACAGATTCAAATGTGTTATTGAACAAATTAAGACAATTCAGGTTTTTCTATGTATTCATGTAGACTGGCTCTGGGTGTGAAAACTGCAATTCCTCCCCCAACTTCAACTGCAGCATAACGATGGGCTCAAAGCCACTTTCAGATTATCAATGCTTCTCTCTTCACCCTGGTACAGCCTTCGCTCTTGTTCCAAACCATGGAGTTGGCATTTCAGTGGTGGTTAACGGTATCCCTGGGAGATATCAGAAGTGCCATCATTGAAATAAGACATTGGTGCAATGCCTTGTTTCTATGATGGCACCTCTGACATAGCCCAGAATCCCCGTAGACCAGAGGAGTACAACCGGCGGCCCATGGGCCACATTTGCCACCCCAGCCCCCATTTCATCTGGCCCACCCGCTCCTTCCATAACCTGTAAATGTTATGTTATGTTTCTGGAAAGGAAACACAAAAATATTGCTTATGCAGCACATGGACGTTTCTCAAATAGGGCATCCAGCCCTCTGGCCAAAAGGTTGGACCATCCTGCCCTAGTCTATGAGCTTAGATGCCATTGTGCACTGACTGGAACTCACAACTTTCATACACAGTGTCAAGAGAGTTGCCATTTGGGCCAGGCTGATGAAAATAGTTCAGAACCAATCATTTGACAAGCATACAAACTGACATCTTTACTTTCAGGGGCTGGGGAGAGAAGACTGAAATTTGCACTTACTCATATCAAAAGCATCTTTCCGAGGGCTCTCTTCTGCATGGCTTATTGTTTCATTGGACCCTGTAGTGGGATCTACTTGCAATGCAGCTAAAGCCTGGACATCCAAGTGCTGAGTGTTGACATATGTTGGCGCATCTCCACCTTTGGTCAATAAAGGTCTCACTTCAGGCTGAATGTATAAATCACCAGAGGACCCTTTAGGCGTGGAGTAAGGAATGGAATAAAAATCAATCTTCACCCAGATATTTACTTCAATACTAAACATTGACTGCAGTAATTCCAAAATATTACAAGGTCATGTAGATACATTTAAAAAGGCGCTCCTGTTCATAGGTACAGTACATTACCAGACAACAATTGTAATAAGAACAGTTCCTGGCTGGAACTACCTCTTGTGTGGCTGGGATAAATAACTTTGTCCAACATTCAATGTGTGTAATACAGGTTCCAGGACTTTGACAATAACGAGATAGAGATTCTAAAACTGTACCCCACTGTACTTAGAGACACAAGGGAGGAGATTTGAGAAACATTTTGAGGGAGTCAACAAACATTGGGGAGGTTCCAATTAACTGGAAAAAAACAAATGTAATTTCTGCAGTTAGGAGGGTGATGGAACCATATCCTGCAATTACAGATTTATTGGGCTGACCTCAATAAATGTAAAAGCTAATAAAATAAAAAGACACAATACTGCTGTCTAATATCTAATGTATCACTCACAAAATATAAAACCAATTCACTTTACAGTATATTCTATGAAGTGCTTTGAGACATCTTAATGAGGTGATAAGGCAACAACAACAAGATTCCATTTATAGAGCGCCTTTCACATCGGGAGGACGTCCCAAGGCGCTGTACAGTTGGGTCAGGACCCGAGCAGGGGGGAAATGGTCAGGGTGAGGGGAGGGCAGAGAGTCGAGAGGGGAGCTGAAGGCACAGTCAAAGAGAAAGGTCTTGAGACCGGCCTTGAAGGAGGAAAGGGAGGAGGCGGCGAAGGCACTGGGGGATGGAGTTCCAGAGCCTCGGGGCTGAGAGGCTGAAGGCCCGGCTACCGATGGTAGGGCAGTTGGGGCGGGGGATGTGGAGCAGATCGGAGCCAGAGGAACGGAGGGTACGGGCAGGTAAGTAGGGGGATAGTAGGTCAGAGAGGTAGGAGGGAGCAAGGCCGTGAATGGCCTTGTAGGTGAGGATGAGGATCTTGAATTCGATCCTCTGGGGGATGGGGAGCCAGTGGAGGCGAGTGAGGGTGGGACTGATGTGGTCGCGAAGCCTGGTGCGGGACAGTACACGAGCTGCAGAGTTCTGAATGACCTGCAGCTTGTGGAGGGAGGTGCCGGGAAGGCCGGCGAGGAGAGAGTTCCCATAGTCCAGCCTTGAGGTGATAAAGGCGTGGACCAGAGTTTCAGCAGCGTGAGGGGTGAGGTAGTGCCGTAGTCTGGCGATATTCCGGTGGTGATGGAAGGCGGTGCCAGTTGTGGCGCGGATATGACGGAGAAAGGACAGCTCAGGGTTGAACAGAACACCGAGGTTCCTGATTGGCTTTGAGAGATGGAGAGGCAGCCTTGGATGCTGATGCTGTCAGCACTATATCAAATGCAAGGATTATTATTATTAATTTATGCTTTATAGTAACGCCCCAGCACTGGGTATCTAGAATTTGAACATAGCCTGACTTGGCCCAACACCAAAACAAAATGTCCACAGGCCAGCACATGTGAGTCATTCAGCTGCGCAAATGCACAGAGAAACCAGATATTGTGTCTTGTTACAGCCTGGGATGGGATTTTATGGATCCCAACAACCACATTATAACAGTGCCCCACTATAATAAATGAACACCAATGCAGCTTCAGGTGGCATCGTCCTTGTCTGACCAACTTCATTGACTTTTTTGAGGAGGGGACAAACGTTGTCTTGCTGTAGGTTCATTTATTTACCATATCTGCTGAGTGCCTTTCTCCATTCTTCATTGTGGCTCTCACCAAGATGCTGGTCTTGATAGTAGCTTTGATCTTGTCCTATGGCTAACACTGGCTACAGTAACAAAGTAAAATTGTTCAACACTAAGGGCTCCAAGCCTAAAATAATAGAGCAAGAAAGATTAACAGAATACAAACATTTCTATCTGTGGAACGATGGGTGGGCTTATTCCCCCAGTTTGAAGTTCATCTACGCCTGAGAACTTTTCAGTTTATTCTATTCTTTTTTTATTAAATTGCAATTTAGTAATTACTTCAACACAGATTGTTTTTAGGTATTCCTGAGCACTATCTTGGGAGACCTGCACTTTCATAAATTCTAGCCAGACTTTACGAGACTGTTTTCATATCATGTGAAAAATGTCAGCATTCCATTTGATCAAGCAGTGAGTGACCTGATAGTACAAGTGTTAAATATAGACCTAGGAAAGCATTAAGTCACAAAGTAAATTGATTCTTAAATTGCTTCAAACGTACAGGCGAGACAATTGTTAGATGTGAGGCGATAATTATCACTGGCGAGGATTATAGAATTACATAGAATGTTACAGCATAGAAACAGGCCATTCGGCCTAACTAGTTAATGCTAGTTTTTCCACTCCACATGAGCCACCTAATCCCTTCTCCCATATCCTCCTATTCCCTGCTTCCTCCTATACATACTGAGTCTCCACTTACAATCAAAGCTGATTGATATTTAGCGATCGCTCTGAATGGATGAGCACCTCTATTCTCTGCTGTAAATTTCTATGGTTCTATGGATTTAAAGCCATTGGAGTGCACAACTGTGTAACTTAGTTAAGTTGTACTTTAGATATTCCTTTATTTAAATCCCATTTTGCAGCCTGTTGAGAAAGATCATTCAGGAAAATGTTACCAACCTGATTTGCATCAGCATGATGGGCTGTCAAAGTCTGAATCAGAGCTTGTTGATGGACATCTCTTAGCCTGATGTCAATAAATCCTCCAGGAGGTGGTATTTTCCCAGGAATGCTGTTATAATATGGATGTTCTATTACCTCTTCATCTTCACCAGCCCAAGATGATTCTTCGAAATTTGGTATTCTGTGTAACATTGGAAAATAGCCCTTGGTAAGGTGCTGAAGCATAGAATACAAGTCACAAAAAATACACTAAGCAGCTGCTTAAAGTCGTATTGCACATATAGAAACACACGAACACAAGGAGGCCATTCTAACCATTCAGCCTGTTCTGCCATCTGATTAAATCACGGCTGGTTTCTCGATCCCATCTTAACATCTGTCTTCCTTTTGCACCATGTTAATCCCTGAACTTCTCTTCAAAAGCAAATCTGCCTCAAGGGGCAGCTCATATTATAAAGTGGCTAGTTTTTCCTTCTGGACACAGATTCACAGAGCCAGTGTAAAAGAACTACATTTGCAGATGACACCGAGTTAGGGCAAACTATGGAATCAGAGGAGGCAGCAAAGGTCCTACAAAGAGAGCGATAGTTTAGGGGCTGATAACTGGCAAATGAAGTTTAATACAGATAAATGCAAAGTACTACATATAGGATCCAAAAATAGGAAACACAAGTACTCCATGGTTGAGTTAGAACTTGCCAAAGCAAAAGCTGAACGAGATCTAGGGATGGTAGTTGACTTGTTGCTCACTCTGTTAAACCAGTGTGGGGCAGCATTAAACAAGGCAAACAGGTGCTGGGCTATATTGCTAAATCAGTTGAATTCAGATCCCAGACATCATCCTCAGGCTGTACAGTGCTCTGGTCAAGCCACACCTTGAACACTGCAAACAGTTCTGGTCACCAAGACATAAGGGGCTGCCAGGCCCTAGAGGCAGTGCAGAGGAGAGTAACCAGGATGACCCCTAGTGTTAGAGGAATGAACCACATCATCGCTGGGTTTCTAGGAATCAACCGACAGACACTTATCCTCCGTACAGTCATATGTCAGCCTTCTAGGCACTTATACAGAAGTACAAACGGGTCTCTTGAGCCCGGCGCAGACACAGCTACTTTCCTCCTTGCACAGCCACACTCCACACCCTGCACCATCGGCACATGGTGGGATAGCCACGGAACCTAGAGGAGAGGAAATCTGCTGCCACTGTCGGCTCCAAGATATGGGGAGTGCGCTAACAATCTCCCAACATCTCCCCTCACCCCGAGGCTGGAGGTGACTGCAGAGGTGCCAGGGAAGGCCTTTGTGCGTTGTTCAGGGTAAGACGTCCTCTTGATGTAAAAGGCACTATACAAATGTAATTTGTTGTTGTTTTATGCTCTTTGGCACTGGCGCCCACCACCGACTCCCACCCCCCATAAATTGGTACCTCCCCACCACCCAGTTTTTCAGTGAAATTCTCAGACCCTTTTAGGGATCCAGTCTACCACTGACCTCTGCTAATAGAGAGCAGATATTTATGTATTCTTGCTTATACCCCAACCACCAGTCGTGTAAAATCAACTATTTTATTTGCATAACAATGGTTTGTGCTTAGCAAGCCGATTGCTAGTCATCATGGGGAAATTGTTTTTGTTTTAGAAATCCCCAAATATCTACTTGACAAATAAACAGCAAACCTATATAATCCCCTTTCTGTATAGTTTTGGGAAACAAAGAGGATTAACAAATTAAATTGTTTTGTTATTTATTTTCTCAGAATGTACATCCCAGCAATGAAACAGGATTGTCTGGGATATTATTGAATAATTCGAAGTAAAGGCTTCATGAGCTTTGACCTTAAACATTTCTTAGAAATATGTATACTTTCCCAAAATGCTCAGAACATGCACACTTGACTCGTGTTCATCCCTCAGACAGGCACAAAGCAGCCTTTATTTGCCATTCTAGATCCAATAAAATCTGGGATCAGTATAAAAACCTTGAATGCTGCTCTACTGTTTCAATTCAAAATACAGATTAAACTCTAAAAAGCAAGGGGCAAGATTATAATAAATCATTATATGAAAATGAAAAAAAGTAATGGTTTATTTTCAGTGACTGGTGTGAGCATTCTAGCAGGCAAGATTAATATCACGTTACAATCACAAGGCCAAGGAAATGGGAGAATCAGAGTTTTTGATCCCAGTGCATGACTTGAGTGTTTATGCCACCAGTCTACTTTGACTGCTCTTACGTAACTTCATTATTTCAATCTTGTGACTTCCATGTGCAGTATTAATGCAATCAATTCAATTTTTGCAACCCCCAGTCTGACACAGATTTAAAAGTATAATACTCGATTGTGCATATAAAAGCATAAGTGTCAATGCTCTCTGTACTTACCTGTCGTGAATGTTAGATATCTTGGAAGGACATTGGAGATATTGCTTGAATCGAAGTTCAAATGCTTGGCCTATGGTGCTAATAACGTCTTGAGCCAACCCGTCACAGCATTCCAATATGTGGCATGCTTTAAAAACATCAAACAACAGCTTATCAGTTCTCAGAGCACAGCTATTTAATGTTGTGAAGCCTTCTATTGGATTGTTTCATGCTCTCAATATGTTGATGAGTAAGCATGATCAGTCTCAGGTTAGAGTACAGTAATAATATTCCTTGCATTTGATAAAGCACCTTATCCTCTCAAAAGTCTCACAGCCCATCAGAGTTTTTTTTCTATAAAGAATGTGTATTTTGTAGGAGTGAATTTGGCAGCGAATTTGGCATAGCAGTGTCCCATGAAGTGACTTTTTTTAATCTTATCTGGAGGAATTGTTGGCCAGAACGAATAAGAATATACCATGGGATCTTAGATGTCAGCCTGAATAGACAGATGGGATCTGAATGTAACACCTCACCCGAAGGATGGTGGGGTAAAGTTTGCAGCATTTCATAACCCATTCTTGTGTTAAATAATGTGTTGTGAAATGGCACAGACTTCACCCCATAGTGGATGAACATCACCAGTATCAAGCATTTGCATTTTGCTATATAATGTGTACAGTTTTCTGCACAGCAGATGTTACTCAAATGTGAAATCTGCATTTCCATTATATGGTGTATTTGAGTTTACTATAAAACAAAACACAAAATACTGCAGATGCTGGAAATCTGAAAACAAAAACAGAAGCTGGAAAAGAAGCTGTTCCCAGCGACTTCTTTTTTTTGTTTTGAGTTTATTATATACTGTTGTGGCTCCGTGTATTGTTCTCTCATTCACTACCCTCGTAGTAGATGCTTCAAAAATCGTGAACAACAACTACTTGCATTTATATAGCTCCCTCCACGCTCTGCGGCGTCTTAGAGCGCTTAACAATGGTGGAGCCGAGGTCAAGCCAGGGAGAGGGGGAAGGTAACCATAGGCGCATTCAAAGAGGAAAGTCTTCAGGTGCGGGCCAGATTCAGGTGGAGAGAAAGCGAGCCAGTGGGATTAAGTTGGGATTGCTATTTTAGGAGCCGGCACAGACACGATGGGCCGAATGGCCTCTTTCTGCGCTGTATGATTCTATGATTCTAGGTGCGACCTGAAGATGGGGAAGGAGGGGAAGAGGTGAAGGGGTTGAGGAGGGAGTTACAAAGTTTCGGGGCATAGTGGCTGAAGGCACGGCCGCCGATGGTGGAGCGGGGGATTCGGGGGGCATGGAGGAGGCTGGACCCAGTAGAGTGGAGGCAGAAGGTACTGCTGTGGGGAGAGAGGAAGTTAGCGAGATAGGGGGGTGTCAAGGAATGGAGGGATTTAAACACCGGAGTGAGAATCGTGAAGTTCATCCGCTCTGTGACAGGGAGCCAGTGGATTTGGCAAGGACTGGAGTAATCGGGGTATGAAGTTTCAGAATGTGGGCGGCGGAGTTTTGAATGAGCTGAATTTTGTGAATAGTGAAGGAGGGAAGACCAGCGAGGAGGGCGTTAGGGTAGTCCAGCCGAGAAGTGACAAAGGCATGAACAAGGATTTCGGCAGCTTGGAGTGAGGTATTGTCGGAGGTATTGTGAAAACTGTTACAGTCCAATGCTATGATATTTTTCACCCACAAGAGTTCACAAACCTGAACTATCTGAAATTTGAGGTGTGAAACAACATCACATATCGAAAGTTCTACCCCTCTTGATAGCTCAGCCGATATTTACAGATATCCCCCACCACCCCAACTTCACGTTGAGTCTGAAGCCAGCCCCCGACTGCATTGAACTTGTTGCTCTACACTCAACTGTATCAGAAGTGAAATGACAGGCAGGGAATTCAATGGCAGTCGCTGACAAGTTTCAGATCCAACCGTTGCCTTGAAGTTGAGGTGGGAGTGGGGCACCCCAGACCTCGATAGGAACCAAGGTTTCAACAATATAATCACATGACTGTTTGTGGGACATTGTGCGCACAATTGGCTGCTGCGTTTCGCCCACAAAATCCACTAAAAACTAACAAAATAAAGACACAATACAAATATTAATATTTAATGTTTCACCCACAAAATATAGTCTATTCACTTTGCAGTATATTCTGTGAAGCGCTTTGAGACATCTTAATGACATAATAAGACACTATATCAAATGCAAGGATTATTATTATTTATTAGAAAAAATAATTATCACACCTCACATCACATTCTTCAGAAGTGACTGAATTTTAATAAAATGTCTCCACACTTTCAGGTAAAGAGCTACAATTTCATTCTTTCTGATAACCTTGAGATATTATGAAAATCTCCAATTAAAAATATAGCACAGGCACAACTCTTCAGTAAAGAATATCACTTGTTAGAGGGTGAGTGGTGGGGGGTGAGTAAAAGCTACAAAATTAATTTGCTGAGTTGCAACTCTTCCCATCAAACTCTGGCCCCAGTTATCAGGTGTTATCTGTTAACTATTGACTGTTATTTGGAGGGTGAAGTTTGGTCAGATACAATATTGTGTTTGTCACGAACATGCCCACTGTAACTTATATCAGGTCTTGTCCCCTGTTTTTTTGTGCTGCTAGGATTTTATGAAAGAATATATATTAACAAGGGAGTGCACATTACCTCGACGATTGACTGGATCCTTCGCCACATACGCAACATAGTCTGTAGTGTCCTGTTATATATTGTAAAAAAAAGGACAAAATTTAATAAGATCAGCTTTAGCGCAGATATTGAACTTAATCTCCCAGACTGCTAAACACAAAAAGGATTGTAATTGAATAAATTTTTCTGAAGAATTTGTTCCGATATTTAATTCCAATAAAGTTAATTCCTTTTGATTAAATTTTAATTATTCCCATAAATGTTATTGAATGATCAGGAATTAGAGTAGCAATGCTGTTTCATTTTAACGGAATATCTTCAGTATTGCTGTATTTGACTTTCAAAGGTTTTATACACAATAGAAGTTGTACGGTTATGTGGTTACTTGGTTTGAACCTCTGTTCACTTGAGAGCCTTTTCAATCTTATCGGCTACTCTTTTTGGTGCATCTGATTGTGGACCCGACATGACTCTGATCAAAAATTATCCAAGTTACACTTATATAGCATACTATACTTTCTCACTTTGGGAGAGTATCTCAAAGTGTTGTATAAAAACTGAATGGTACACCAAGCCTGGAAGGAACTAGGTGGGTGGACAGAAAGTGACTGAAAAAGCCAAGAGATAGGTATTAACATAGGGTTTGAAAGGAGAGTGGGACAAGATGGAGGGATTTCCGGGGTGCGTTTCAGAGGGAAAGGGGGAAAAGGTTGAAGGCTTGACCATTGACGGTGTACTGACTGTTCATTATAGATAAACATGAATATTTATATTTGTACACACATCACCATAATACCAGGAAATCCTGTTCATCAGATAGATATCTAAAAAAGGAATGCATCACACAGGTCTGGGGAAAAGACAGATAAATGGGACTGAAAGCACTGCTCTTTAAAAGTACCAAATAGTTCTTCTGCTGAACTGTAAATTTCTATGATCAATATTGAGTAGATTATGGCTAAAGTTCATAAATAGAAACTGAAAATGTTGGAGCTGCAAAGCAGCCGGTTGGCATCTAGAAGAGAAAATCAAATGAATGTTTCAAGTGAGACCCTGACATGCTGATCAACCAGCAGATATTTCCAACATTTTCCTGTTTTTATTTCAGATTTCCAGTTCTTTTCATCTGCACCAAATGGAAACACGCCTTCTTCATCCTATCAGGAAGTTCTTTTTAAACACACGTTCTTGTGCTCTCGAAAGTGGGTACAACAAGCTTGGGTAGAACCTCATGAATACTCTGAATATAAGCCATTAGCGAAGAAGCTGCTCATTAGTTATCAGGTCAAAGTCACAAGCAAGATCAATTCCAGATATCAAATCCACTTATATGCAAATCATTAGAAAATCCCAAATGGCTCCGTCTGAGCAATGATATGCCCTTCCTGTGAAAGCAAATCTGCTTATAAATGATGACTGTCTATTGTTACCTAAAGTATATATGACTCCAATGCCTATTGATGCCTCTCCCACATTCCAATTTATATTCACAAATCATTCTAAGGCAGAATCATTTTTGAAAGTGAATTTAAAGGTGAGTTTCTTTACTTTTTGGGGGGGATAGGTTCTAAGCATTCTTTGATTCTTTGATCCAGACTCAGGAGATTGAGTGTATGATAAAAAACTCCTTGCAGCTTCAGGTCATGGAGCTACGAAATTCTACAGGGCAAAAGAGCAACTTAGAGCATTGTTTGCATGTAAGCTTTCCACCTGGCTCAGCTAGTTCATTATGGAGTTTATGACCAGATGGTTCTGGGCTTGAGTCTCAGTGGTTATAATAATAATAATAATCCTTGCATTTGATATAGCGCTTTTCACGTCGGGAGGACGTCCCAAAGCGCTTCACAGAACACACTGTAAAGTGAACTGACTGTATATTTGTGGGCGAACGCGGCAGCCAATTGCGCACAGCAATGTCCCACAAACAGTCGTAGATTGAAAATGACCAATTTATTATTGTTTTGGGTTTTGGAGGGATTATTATTAGGCTCTGTGTGGAGTAAGGAAACTTGCCCAAGGTTTCGCCCTGACCTGCCTGGAATTGAACTCAGGTCTCTCACTTGCAAAGCGAGTGCTCTAACCACTGAGCTTGAAATAGAAAAAAACACCCAGGATGAATGTGTCAGATAAAACACCCTTCGATGTAAAATGTGTCTCTTGTAAAGAACCTCATGTACATCAAACCAACTCATGAAAACTCCACTCAAAGGTGGTGTCAAGTCAGAAGTGATCAGTGGTGCCTATTCCCCCCACCCCACAAATCTTGGAAGAGTTCCCCCTCCTCTAATTTAACCCTCCCCCAGTGTCTATAGATCTAAATTAGCCAGGAAGTCATCAATCAGGACACAGGAGGATATTTTACCCCGTCATTTGTTTTTTCTCAGTGTATGTAAGACTCACAAAAAAAGATGAAAAATCTTCAGTAAATCAATATGCTAATGCCATAGACTGGGACCGTGCAGTTTTATAGCAGTACATGGGAAGCTGCTAATTTGTCTTGTCTCAGGAGAAATGGTTCGCTCCGAGCAGCCCAGCTGTAGAGTAGCATAGATCAGGCAGGAGGATGCAACAACAACAGCAACAATAAATTACATTTGTATAATACCTTTCACATTGCGAGGATGTCCCAAGGTGCTGGACAGTCAGGGATTTGGACCCGAGTTGGAGGTTGGGATCAGGAGCAATGGAAAGCAGGGAGGAGAGGGGTAAGAGTGTGACACACCCTGCCCCTCTCTGCCAAGGGACAGTGTACAGTCCAAGAGAATGACAACCATGTGTGGTAAAAATGTTACAAATACTAATGAGAAATACTTATTTTAGAGCAGATGAAGACAATTTCTAAATGCCCTTATTTGAGGTAGTGGGAAAGGAAAAATAACTTGTGTGTCACTTTAGAGTATAAAACTGTCCCAATAAATGTACTTGTCTTGGAGGGTATTCAGTCACAATTTACTCAATTTATTCCGTTGGTTGAAGAGGTTTAGCTGTGGATGAAAGCTTGGGTAGACTTTAATGGTTGAGATTAGGGGTGATCTGATTAGGCTGTTTAAAATCTGGTAGAAGGCCCCAAAATGGGGAAAGTGGGGAGGAAGAAGAGAGGATATTAAATTTGATGTAATGAGCAATTTATTTGGAGAATTGTTGCCCAGAACACCAGGAGAAATTATCTTCCTTTTTCATGCCAAGGGATCAACTGAACAGGCAGGTGGGGTCTCGGTTTAACGTCTCATCTGAAGGGCAAAGAAGTGTTTTCCCCAGTACTGCTTTGGAGTGCCAGCCTACACTCTATACCGACCGGAACCCTTACTCTTTCCTGAGAACAGTGCATCTTGAAGTGCCTCCAAGTGAAGGAGAGGAGTGTGCTTGGAGACAACATATTTCCTGCGCCGTAACCAGACGTCATGGCATTTTTCATGACTCCAAGACTAATATCACTAATATCTATGAATCACATTGGCTTTGTTGGTTAATACCATGTCTTCCATAAAGGTCAAACAAATTAACAGATGAATACTGTGCAAATAATGGGAGATTGTATACGTCAAGACATTTTCTATGGTAATAGTCTCAAATTAAATTTCCCCTGAAAACTACAGCAGAGATAAGATGACATGAATCTTGTTTTTCACATCTTAACAGTTCAAGCATTGTGTCTGGAAGTCACCAGTAAATGGCATGTCAAATCTGTGGGTATAAAACAATTGAGCCATGAGGAACAAAACCATGGGATTGAGGATTTGTCTGGTTCTAGTGATGTAAACAAGCAATTACTTTCTGCTCCTTCCCCAACCCCAAGATATAGAAATGTAACACTTTCTTTGGGAAGAAAGGCTGTTAGTCATTTGAAGCAGATCAGTTTAATTATTACAAAAAATGATTCCTCGCTATTAAAGGTGACATCAAATTTATTATTTTTATTCCATGTTACAAAGTTTTATATGTTGTCTAGTTGGCTGAGCAATAATTAGACAAACTAGGGATATTCAGAAGACAACTCAGAGGTGTACAAAATTTTAAATGGGATTGAAAAAGTAAACCCAAAACAATACTTTAGGATGCAACAAGACAGTAGAACAAGAGGACATAGGGTAATTTCAGGACAGATACCAATAAGTTTTTCTTTACTTGAAGGGGAATTAATGACTGAAATAGGTTGGCAGGAAGTGTGGTTGAAGCCAGGACACTGGACTTATTTAACAAGCAGCTTCATACTTTGATGGGAGGACAGCAAGGTGGGCACTCTTGTGCCCTTTGTCCCAGCTTATCCTTTTCATTGACTCAATTATCTTATCTGGTGTTGTTCCTCTGCCTTCCCCCTCTTTCCCCAGTCCCTGTAATTAACAAAAAATAATTGTGTGCACATGTCCCTTCAATGTGAATGAGGAGTTATGTCAATAGTTGCCTACTGTCTCCTTCAATGTGAATGAGGATTGTGTCTACACATCCCTTCAATACCAATGAGGTATTGTGTGTCTCTATTCTATGGTCAAGACAGCATTTAATTCCTGGGCGGAAAATACAATGCCTGGTAATCCACTATGTGTGGAGAGGAAGAAAGAGAGAAACACTCAGTTTCCAGCAGCACAGTGCTGATTTAGTGAACAAAAGGCAAAATACTGCAGATGCTGGAAATCTGAAATAAAAACAGAAGTGGCTGGGAACACTCAGCAGGTCAGGCAGTTTCTGACGAAAGGTCATCAACCTGAAACGTTAACCCACTTTCCTCTCTCTATAGATAACAACAATAATAATAATAATCCTTGCATTTGATATAGAGCCTTATCACGTCTTCAAGACGTCTCAAAGTACTTCACATAATATACTGTAAAGAGAATTGACTGTAGATTTTGTGGGCAAATGCAGCAGCCAATTGCGCACAGCTGGGTCCCACAAACAGTTGTGGATTGAGTGACCAAATGATCATTATTATGTTTTTGAAGGTGCTGCATGACCTCTGATTATTTCCAGCGACTTATGTTTTTATTGCTGATTTAGTGACAGGCTGAAAAAACGCATCAATCTACTTCATATTTACATCACTTCCTACAATTTGGCCATGGATAATTGGGGTGTGGGCCACAAAATCTATTTAAGAAAAAAATCTAAATTGCAGACCAGCTGGTTAGCTTCTTTTACAAGTTGGCCAGTATGTTAAAAAATGTCCAACTGCGGGACATCAGAGCAACGTCAACATCATTTCCAGCAAACTGCACATGCACAGCCAGCCAGCAATGTATGTGCAGTAAATGAAAAAGCACTGACCAGCTATTGCACCCTGTTGTACTAGATCCTGCCAATCTCTGCAGTCTCTGTTTAGTCATGCTCCCCTGTCTTTTCTCATAACATTTATATTTTTCCTTTCCAGATACTGTACTTGCCTAATTCCCTTTCAAACCAAATTAGGTTCAAGTACAGTAATCAGCACAGTGATTAATGTATTTTTATTATTAATGCTGAATTGAACCTGAGCCACAGAGTTGACAGGAGCTTAACTTTGTTTCTTCGGAGCCTGCCCATCTTTAATCACTGTGCAGACAATATTAAAGCACTGAACATCACTATGCAGGCCGGCCGGGATGAGTTCTTAACTACAGCTTTCAAAAACCTGTGTTTTATGCCTGTTCTTTTAAAAATATGATGCATTCTTACCAAACCATTTATCAAAATAAATAAGGCATAAAGTTATCATTGCTTTGTGGCCCATTGCATTTCAATCACTTCAGGAGAGGATTTGCTGCTGTCAATCAGGAGGGTATGTGAAAAGTGCCTCTTTCTATACAAACAAAATCAAAAAGCGTATTGAATAAGAAATAAGAGCTGTCATGCTCATCACTTCTTCTTAGCATGATAAGAGATAAATCCTGGCTTACACTATCATTAAGATCAAGCTGTGTCTTACCGGATCGCCACCAGATGCAAAGGAAATGGACTGCATATGATGATTTGCTATAATCTGTTGGATCAAAACCAAAAACACAAACGATTAATCAAAGGGCTTCTCCCAAGAGAGACCTTACAAGCCAAGAGAAGATAAATAACATCAGAATGGAAGAGATTCTGAATCAGCAGTGACGAGAGGTAGACACAAAGGAGATAGCAACTAATATTATCAATCATATTTAAACAATCCCCCTCCCTTTCCACCACCTCTCCAACAATCACAGATCCTTTCGGATCAGGGAACGTTACCTAAAATGGAAAGTTGCTTTTAAAGAGCTGTCAAATAGCAATTGTTTCCCAGGATGAATCTTATAGTTACATTTCTGCTTTCTGAATGAATCTCTTAATTTTGTAAGCTTTATACAGGTTATCCCAATGATCTCATTTTTTTCCCCAACCTTTAGTGAGTTTGAATTCTCTTTTGAATTATTAAGCTATGCTGGAAAAGGAAAATGCACCAGGTTCTTTTTATTTTGCTATAACAACAACAATAACTTGCATTTATATAGCGCCTCTCATGCAGGATAGCATCCCAGAGCGCTTGACAATGTTGGACCACTACGTCAAGCAGGGAGGAGGGGAAAGCGATCGCAGGCACGGTCGAACAGGAAAGTCTTCAGGCTCGATCTGAAAATGGGGAAAGGAGGGGCAAGGCGGAGGGATAGAGGAAGAGTGTGCCAGGATTTGGGGCGTAGTGGTTGAAAGTGCCGCCGCCAGTGGTGAAACGGAGGGCATGAGGAACTGCAGAAGGCCGGAGCCAATCGAGTGGAGGTAGTAGGTTGTGGGTTGGGGCGTACGCAGGTCGGAGAGGTAGGGAGGTACCAAGGCATAGATTTGAAAATGAGTGTGAGGATCTTAAAATTGATCCATTCGGGGATAAGGAGCCAGTGGAACCTGGTTAGAACTGGTGTGATGGAGGTACGGAATTTAGTGCGGCTGAGTATGCAGGCGGTGGAGTTTTAGATCAGTTGGATCCTGTGCATGGTAGAGCTGGGGAGACTGTCAAAGTAGCATTTGAAAAGTCGAGTCATGACAAGTGTTTCTGCTGCTTCTGGGGTAAGGTACAGTCGGAGGCAGGAAATGTGAGGGAGGTGGAGGAAGGCGGTCCTGTTCAGGGACCAGATATGGGGAAGTAAGGACAGTTGTGGGTCGAACTGGATACCTACGTTGGCACTGGTTCGGTAAGTCTGAGGGATAGGCCAAGGAGGTTGAGGAGGTAAGAGGCATAGAATACAAGACATTTACTATGGCTTCCATCTTGTCAACATTAGCGAGCAATGTTTGTGCTTCTGTCACTAATGGCTCTATAATACATCCTCTCTATAGTATCACTATGTATAGCACAACCAACTCTGTAACAGATTTTATCCCTATTCAATACCCCCTTCTGTATAACATAGTGAGTCATCTCTATTAAGCATTGTTCAATGTAATAAACCATTACCAACAACAATTTACATTTATTTTGCTAATTTCCCATTGGAAGTCTCAAAGTGCTTTAAATACATCCATTGGGAGCTCACCTTTTTCAATAAAGTATTCTATAATGTATCCTGCTATAATATACCCTCTCTCTCAATTATTAACACTGCATTTTCTGAACATATTCAATAACACATTCTTCATTATAATACAGCCCTTTATTTTGAACAATCTTCCTAGCACAACACTCCATTACATGCTTTTAATATCTTCTCTAAAATAATATTATAAAGAGGCTTCTGTTCACCTGAAATCTTGATGTTTTAAAAAAAGGATTGAAGTACTGTAATTGGAACCAGTGGAACAAGTACATGACAGAAATTAATATTGAGAAAGGTATTTCTCTCCCGTATCTAACCTGAAGACAACTTTTCTATTGCAATTAGTATCATGAGTATTAGACAAATGTAAGTTGAATGACCACCAGCTAAATGTGAAAAAGATGGTTTAACACAATCTACTCCATTTAATTCAGGAAAACATCTCGCTGTTAAGAATTTGCTGATTCTCTCCCCCCAGAAGCAGTAACGTCATAATAATGATAATAATATTGTTACTTGTTTCTTTCTAGGTGTGTCATTAAAACAAAAGTACCCAAGGAGGATAAATTCTTGAAATGGAGGATGACTCTAATGGGAGTTTGAGGTTTCTGAGGACAAATAGATAGGTGGGTGTGAGTTTAGCATCTTTCAGCCTTATACCTAATCTCCAGATAAAAATTACCCTTTTTCTACTCTCCACGGCTAACCCTCTCAGAAAGGACCTCATAAGAAATAAGAAAATACAAAAAGCACTTTCAATATCAAAACATGTTACAGGAATTGTAATAACTCTGGGGCGTTACCCTGCATGAGGAGTGCTATATAAATGCAAGTTGGTTTTTTTGCTGTGTATATTGCAGGCAAACAAGGCAGCTACTTTTAGCATAGGAATGAGCCACAAACGGCTATAAAATGATGACCAATTTTATGTGAAACTCCCTTCTCTTTTTCAAAAGTGTTACCTGAACAGATTAACCTCAGATTAACGTCTCATCTGAAGGATGGCACCTCCGACAATGAAGTGCTCCCCAGCAGTGCACTAGAGTGCCATCCTAGACTGAATTCAAATTTCCTGTGGCTTGAATCCACAATTTCCAGACCCAGAAGTGACATTGCTACCAACGGAGCTAGGCTGAACACAAAAGATAATGGAGAATCGTGGTACACTAAGCAGACAACAACATTTTTTTTAATCTCCTCAGTTTCCACTACCTGGAAAAGATCAGCATTAGTTAATGTTTGTTACTCATAAGGATTTTTGAAACACTCTCCTCAGGACAGTGGCAGTGGTACTGGTGCCTTACTGCTGGAGAAATCTCCTTGCCATGTGAAATATATCTTCTGGAGGGAATGCCTGCACATCACGTCAACCTTTGGCTACAATCTGAGAGTACCTCAAAGCCGAGGTATTGTGATTTGGCTTGACATACATGGGGTGCCTTTTTGAGTCGTATATAATGGGATGAAAGCCCTGGAAGTTATCAGAAGCTGTTTCTCAGTCAGTGTCTTCCTTTGTGACATTTTATCTTGAGTTTACTTGCCTTTTCTCAACCGTGAATTGACCTGAAAGTGAATAGTTGGCTGGACTTACAACTTCCAGTTGTTAGCATCACACTTTCAGCCCCCCCATGTTGACAGAAGTTGCTCTTTATTCTGTCCATTAAAATATAGCCTTGTGAAGACCCACCATGCCTGAGCACTGAACTGCAAAACACCCACTCCAGCTGGTATTATTTGACATAAACAGGAATAATGTCTTTGCTATTCATTGATGCTGACTCAGGCATCAAACTTCAATACCAATTTTGATCCACGATTGTTCCCTTTACAGGGTTATTGAGGCAATCCAAGGATGGTTATGGTGAAGTGTAAAGAGCAAGCTTCCAAGGATCAGTATAATCTGCTCCAAGCAGACAGATAAAATGACATTTGTGCAGAAAACTGGGTTTTAGTCATATTTCTACCAGCCTGAATCACCCACCTCATGTAAATAAATGTCAGTCTGTTGTGTCAAGTTGGGCCTCATGTGCAACTTTTAATTGAAATGATTCCAATCCAGGATTGAATACTGCAGCCACACTTTGGTCTCACCATGTTAGGAGCTCTGCTCTGATGGTCAAGATAGCAATAATCCTGAAATCAAGGGAGGAGGCAGAAAGGTTCTGGGGTGTTTGTGGTAAAGCATGTTAATGTGTTACTTAAAGATTCACAGATAAAGAGACACAGTTAGAGGGAGCTATCTCCTACAGTGTGGGACGAGTTCCGAGCAGACAGACATGGTGCTGCATGGACAATAGATTGTTCCAGTCTTTGTGCTAATAAAGCTTACCTGCTTGGTGTTTTACATGTGTAAATGAGAGCATATTAACCTGCAGGACCAGAATTATCAGGAACCAGATTGCACATACTTGCCTCTAGACTACTTATCCTCCTCCTACTAGACTACTTGATCCTGCACAAGTCCATCTGAAGGCTGCAGATCCATCCCTCCACCCTACTTTAGGTGTCAGATAGACCTTCCAAAGGTTGTTAATTGTCCTCCCCAGTAAACTACCTTGTTCCAGATGCATATCTGCCTCATTGAAGATTGCGTGTTCGCCCATTCAACAAACAAAATGTAAGCTCAACACTAAACAGTTTTTTTAAATTCAGACACTTCACAAAACAAAATCGGGTTAAATTTAGAATTTTCCACACAAATCGAAAATGCTCATGTTTGGACAATTCTGAATTGACACTTCAGATCAGACATTTTCTTATACACCCAGAACCTCCAATTGAATATGTAAGTCAAGCTACATATTAGATTTGTGATGTATGGATAAGGCCGTATTACATAGATAGGATTGTGATTGATTACATTTGTAGTTATTGTCATGGTACTCATTCACAAGCTGGCTGATATCTGTAGGATCCTACCGACCTACCTGTTTAGTATCACGGGTCATTAGGTTGAGACTGCTGGTTGAAATATTCAAAGTGATGTTCATTCCAGCAAACTGAAGGTTGCTCTTACCAAGTACGCTAGACAATGCTTTACTTGGTGGCTGTTAAGGCAAATCATAAAAAAAAATTATTCCAACAAAGTGTTGCCTGTAGAAAAAACACTAACAAAAGTATTTGTGACTTCTGTGGATCATTAAACTTTCCAAATTACAGCATTCTCTTTGCAGTCATGAAGTGAATGACCTTTTTTTATTTGGAGGATTGTTGGCCGGGACAGCAGGAGAAACTTCTCGTTTCAAGCAGTGCCATGGTATCTTTAACAGTTTAATGTCTTATCCAAAGGACAGCCCATCCAACATTGCACCACACCCAAGCACTGCATTGGAGTGTCAGCTTAGACTATATGAGTTCCAAGTCCCAACATGGAGCTTGAACCCACAACCTTCTGACTCAGAGGCAAGAGTGCTGAAAATTGAGCCAGGCTGACACATATGTGATATGATTGAACTATTTAAAATAATGAGAGAAATTGATGGCTTAAATAATGGATGACTCTTCCCTTAAGTAGAGGAAACCATTACAAGCGGGCATAGCCTTAAAATAAGATCAAAGATAGTTAGAACTAAGGTCAGAAACCATTTCCGTGGAATGCTCTGCCCAGAAAACTGTGGAGGCTAAACATCGATAAGGATGTTTAAAGGGAAGATGACCGAAGCTGCGGTCAAAGAGGAAGGTCGTGAGAAGGACTTTGAAATAGGTGAGGGAAGGGATGAGATAACAAGACTCTGGGACTCTGGTACATAGCATAAGATACAATTTACATTATACAGCACCTTTCACGTTGAGAGGAAATCTCAAAGTGTAAAGTGCCATAGGACTAAAGTGTGACCAACATGTAATGTTAAAATAAAAATTCTTAGGATACCTTTCTTTTTCGAAAAGCTCCTTTTGTGCCTGGTACAGCTTCGCATACTCTACTGATAGCTTCCCTGAAAAGAAAAGGATATTGCACCTAGCAAGGCTTCTCTGGACAAACAACATACAGACCAATATAGAGACTAACTGTACCATACGACTAACACAAATACGATAAGAAAGATACTTTTGTGAGTGTATTGCATGGATACTTATTAAATTGTATTATAGGACTGTACTAAAAGGCCACATGGAGTGCAAGAGGAAAATAAATCTTTGTATTTGTGAAGACGATTATGTTAATGATGTTAGACAGACTTTCTAGTTGTTATTTTCCGTTCTTGTGGTCTGGTCTGTTTCCAAATTGCATCAAATTCCTAGATAATAGATGTGTCAACACTGGTCACATGCTGAGAAACTATTTCAGAGGCAGCAGAAATGAGATACAAAATTGTTATCAATATGTGCAGATTTCAGAAGGTGGCCCAATCAATCATCTTCAGGTGAAATACCGTCGATTAGATTTGGCAATGCCCCAAAGCGAAGCGAATTACCAATCTTTATCTGGGGGATTATTGGCCAGGACACTATGAGAAACTCCATTCTCTTTTTTGAATAGTGTAAATGAACAAGATAAGATAATGCAACATAAAAAGATGAAGACTATAATATTCACAAGTGCAAAGATGTATTTTATGTTATGTGCACTACACGCCAGTAAGTTATATTCAGACTGAGACATCATTAAAAGGTGATCCCTTGCTTTAATGTACTAATGTGGATGGACCTCTCCTGCTGTCCTCCATGACCACAAGCAACAAATGGATTCTTGAAATCTTTGGGCCAAATCATCGTGCTGGGGTGGGGAATAGGGAGCAAGGTGTTTACACATGTTGATAGTTAAAGATGGGTTTGGATCACAATCTTCAGCAATGCCAGTAAAATTTTGATATTGAACATCTAATTTTTCACCTCAAAGAGTTTTGCCACTTTATGATTCTGAATCCTTATTCCCATGCAATGGGTCAGCAGCAAACTGAATTGATACTCCAAACTAATCTGAAAGGGCCATGTTGTGCAAATTTGTAAATTGCAAACATATGGCTTGATTCCGGATTAACCTACAACAAGCAAACCTACAGAGCAGGAAGATCGCAGGTTCAGTTCCCAAGCTCTGATTAGTAACTCATCTCAGCCAAGTGGCAGAATGTAAACCAAGTTCCATTCCACTGCTCACAGTGGTCAATGGCTTTTGCAATATGGACAGGCCTGGCTCACTGGCCTGGGGAAAGACAAGGAGAAGGAAGCAGGGAACAAAATATTGAGTCCTTTAATTTTTCACAGGATTAACATCATTAACTCGATTCAAATACAGTGGAAGCCAGTTAAAGCGGACGCATGGGGATGGACATTTTATCCAATTTAAGCAATGTCCGAAGTTAGTTAAAATATCATTCGCACCCAGCAGAGGAGCTGCAGTGACACTGTATAATGATATGTAATAATGTTGTTTCACTTGAATTCTATTCCCCCCCTCGTTCTTCCCTATTTCTCTGCCCCCTCACTGATTGACAGTCCAACTCCAGCTTTAGGTGAATGGCTGGAGTCCGTTGTCTGTCAATCGCAATTTGACTCCTCCCATCTACGTCCCAGAGTCCCTCGTGGCGGACACACAGAAGACTCAAGTGAGTACATTTAGTGCGGCATTTTGCCCGGATATACCGGATTTTTGTCTGAATTAACAGGCATATTTACAACAGGTAAAAATGCAACTGAATCAGGGCCAGGAGTTTTGTTAGATTTACCCAACGTCTTGGGTTGCATCTGGCAAAAAAAATTCCACTGTACTTGATTCATGTAAATATTCATGTCAAGTATTTCCGAAAAGTTTCATCCCTTTTCATTTTCAGAAAGCAATGGCAAGCAGTGGGGTGGGGTGGGGGGGACGGAGGGAAATCAATCTCACATTTCCTGTAATACAGCTTAGCTTTCTGCTGCCGATGACACTCGGTAAGCCACACTCTTCCATAAATTTAATTTTCCAGTGACAAGGCTTCTAGTCTAAACTCCGAATTACTGCAAATCAGGCAGCACTTTACAAGGCACTTGATCATGATTCCCTTTAAGCAGCATATTGCAAATAAATCAGAGGTTCTCTGTGGAAAGTAATTGGAAGGTCATTGAGATGTCTAAAAGATTAAGATCCTGCAGGGCATTCGGATGCTTTCAGTCTGTATTTGCAAAGCCCTCGGAGGTTCAAACTTATCATGACTGGCCCCATCACCGGTTCAAATATTGGTAACATAGTCATGATTTAAAAAAACAACTTTAAAGAAATCTCTGCAGAAAAGTTTCAAAGTGTTTCTTACCTTGTAATCTGTGTTCTCGTATTGAAATCGAGGGAACGCATTGAACGTAATACTTCGATGCAGCCCAGATACTGTAAAAAAAAGTTTGTAAAATGTTTCTGAATATTGCAGTTCTCGTTAAAATGTTGGCCTTTTCTCACACACCCGAGCTCAATCAAGAACATTAATCACTTCACTGGTTAAGTAACTGAAATATGCGTTGATTTATTTTTAAAAATGTAAAATGCATACATAAAGGAAAAGGGAGTAGAGGCATATAGAAGAGGAACAAGGAGGGGTGGTGGGTCAACACCGACATGGACTAGTGTACCAAATGCTGAAACATTCAATGTAATTCTATGCAATTTCTTTAACAAGTGGCATTTCCCTACAAATATAGCCACTGTACTTGACAGCAGTTCCCTCTGTGCTTTGAGATATTTCAAACTTATAGGTGTTATATAAAATGAAAGTATTATCATTATTTATTAGAAGTATTTGAAAACATCAACTAAATTTGCTGGTCCAAATGCCCTTAATTGCAACATAATACATTCCATAATAGACTCAATTTGTTAAGAAACATTCCAATAGTGATTCGGTGTGGCACCCTCCACTATCCCCTCACCCACCCATTTTAACATAATTAAGATTTTAGCATTGGGAGTTTTACTTTGTTTTACTGATCTCAGACGTTTTTCCCAGCAACATATAATCACCAGCCCAGAATGAATGACATCCTCAAATAATACATTAACATTTTGAGAAAGAAAGATGAATGTGGATGTGGATTTCAATGATATACAGATAAATACAAGGCATTTCATGCAGGAAGTAGGAATAGGTGTACTCCGTGGATGGGATAAAATTTGCGATGGGGAAAATTGAAAGAGATCTTGGGTTGTTAGTTGACTTGTAGCTCACCATGTCAAAACAGCACAAGGCAGCAATAAACAATGGATGCTGGGTTATATTGCCAAATCAGTTGCGTTCAGATCCTCAGATATCATACTCAAGTTATACAGTCCGCTGGTCAGTTCGCACTATTCTAGTCACCTTGACTTAATGGGCTGACCAAACCATAGATCAGTGAGATGCAATGATGATGATCCCTAGTGTTAGAGAAATGAGCTATGAACAACAACTAGACACCTAGAGCTCTTCAGATTTGAAAGGAGATGTCTCAGAAAGAACCTTATAGTCTACAAGATTTTAAATGGGATTGAACAACTGAACCCAGAACAATACTTCAGTAGAATTGCAAAGGGCAATTTCAGAACAGATACCAGGAAATTTTCTTTTCACAGAGCATAATTAATAACTGGAACAGATTGCTAGGAAGGGTGATTGAGGCCAGGACTCTGGATTCATTTAATAAAACAGCTTGATGCTGTGCTAGAAGATGGTAGGGTGGATATTCTGAAGGAAAAATAATAATAAATAATAATAATAATCCTTCAATTTGATATAGCGCCTTATCACGTCATCAAGATTTCTCAAAGAGTTTCACAGGATGCACTGTAAAGTGGATTCACTGTGTATTTTGTGGGCGCACTCAGCAGTCAATTTGCGCACAGTGTCCCACAAACAGTCACGTGAACAATTTTATTTTGGGGGATTTGTTGACCAGGAGATGTGGAGAAACTTCCCTTTATTTTCAAATAGTGCCATGGAATCTTTAACATCCATCTGAACAAGCAGACAGGAACTTGGTTTAATGTCTCATTCGAGGGATAGGATGAGATCAGATTGGGCCGAACGGCTTTCTTCACCCAAACCTCTCTTGTCATCTTGTGATACATTTGAAAAATGAAAGACTTTTCCTTTTCATAAAGTTCTTAACTGTGCTTTTTTTAAACATCGTATTTCATCAAGCTGTCAATGTGGATGCTGATTTGGGATTCTTATTTTTATACTGCTGCGCACTTTGAGAGACATTTGCCATAAGGAGGTCTGACTCAGCAGGAGCCTGGTGACTCAACTCCCTGCATCTGACGTGGTAAATAACCTACGAACACAGATTTAGAGGACAGGTGTGCATACAGCGGAGTCATAGAGATAAATTATTAAAAAAAACTTAACGTGCTCAACAGGGAAGAGGGCATTCAATAATAATATAATAATCCTTGCATTTGATATAGCGCTTTTCACGTCAGGAGGACGTCCCAAAGCGCTTCACTGTAAAGTGAATTGATTGTATATTTGTGGGCGAACGCGGCAGCCAATTGCGCACAGCAATGTCCCACAAACAGTCGTAGATTGAAAATGACCAATTTATTATTGTTTTTGGTTTTGGAGGGATTATTCAACATCTATACACAAGTGCAAAAGTGTAAAGCTGTTTGACCTTGCCCATGTAATTTATTTTGTTAAGCCTTCATAAAAAATTACCAACTGTGCCCCATACATTTGTTAAACTAGGGGCTAATTCTCCAGTTGTCAGTAAATTTACAAAGCTTAATTAAGTAGTTGAGAGCATTACATCCTCGCTTTACAAATCTTGGTGGCGTTTGTGATGGCACCTCAAACTATAGTTAGTTATATTTGTGTCTTTAAAAGCTCTGCATAATTAGTATTTGTTGTGGTTTATTTCCACTCGCTCTTCAACTACAATAGAAGTGCTGAAATCCTGGAAGTAGTTTTGGGGCCTGCCATTGTTTTGAAGTGGGTGAGAGGGTCTTTATAATAATAACTCTTGCATTTGGTAGAGTGCTTTTCACGTCGGGAAGATATCTCAAACTGCTTCACAGAATTTACCTTGAAGTGAGTGGCATGACTGTGCAATTGTAGGTCAATTTGCATATAGCAATGTCCCACAAATAGCCGTGAAATGAGTGACCAATTTTATTTGGGGGCTTGTTGGCCACGACACTGGGAGAAACTCCCTTCTCTTTTAGAATAGTCTTAGAAGCTCTTAGACTAATGATAACTTAGATAAACGCACACATGAGGGAGAAAGGTATAGGTGAGGATATGGGTGGGGGCTCGTGTGGAGTATCAACACCAACACGGACCATTTGGACCAAATGGCCCTGTCCATGCGATATCAGTCATTTTATTTTATGTAACTAGCTGTTAATTCGGGCCTCTGGAATCCTGCTAACTGAAGACATGACTCAATCCATATGCATGAAGAGAGAACTTCCTTTTTATAAATAGGTAGTGGCCATAAAGGTCAATAAGCACAGTTATCTCCTTCCCCTACCCTTCCCCCTCCTCTACTCAATGTTCAGCCCCATCTTTGTAAAGCACTCCAAGGCATTATCCTACTGAAGGGCTCCATATTAATACAAGTTGTTGCTGCTGTTGTTTCTACCTGATGGAAAGGCAACCGTAGAGTGGTAATTCTGGAAACTCATAAACAAGAGCTCTGAAAATATGCCAATGAAATTATTATTCTACCACACAAAGGCTAACGGGGAAAGTAAAACAGACATGATCCATGAGCAATGGTAGGTCAGGAGAGGTTGCCCAAAGCTTCAGTAGTTTTAGTGTAGGAGAGATCTGGCCTGCATGGAGAAGCTTTAATTGTAAACTATATTCTTGAACATAACTGGCTGAAGAGCATTGTTAGAATATCCTCTGAAATCAAACTTTGAAATCCTTTCTACTGCTGAGCTCTTAATGCACCAGCATCTAGGATGTAACAGATTAATTCTCTACACTTAGAATAAACAATAGAAAAGAGTGGTTATATGCATGAAACGCACATGATCTAACACCAAAAGTAAAAGTCTGTGGTGCTTGCAGAGTTAATATATACTTTTTTCCCTTCCCAACAGACAGAAAGTGTCTCCGGCTGTGCCCATGTGAACAGGCAGTCGCGCTCACTTACAGTTAATAACTGGGCCCAGTGAGGACGTTGACCTGGAGGGGGCTGAAGCAGCCTCGAAGCTTAGACTAATGATGACTATCTCCTCTGCTGATAACTACCTGCAGTGACTCCAATTAGCCAGATCTACTTTAAAAAATGCAAAAAGTATCCTCTCCACTTTCTGAATTGGGAAGACTCTATTTCAAATAGCGACTATTGACTCTTGCTTGTTAAAATAGTGGCAAAAATACTACAACTGTTTCACATTTTTTATTGGTCTCTACCATTGTGTATACTTCAATAAAACAATGCTTTCACAGTAACTCTATGGATCCCTGGAACTGTGGTACATCAATGATAATCTGCGTACATGTCTTTTTGGTTATTTTTATTTAGCTTTTTAAAATCAATGAAAACGGCACAGCTTTCTTCAGATTGTAAATCCTGCTGACGCTGCAATATTAAATAACAGTAGAGGAGACAGAAGAAGTATTTTTCTGCAAAATACAAAATCGCACAATTACAAGATTGGTTTGGATGAAGAAGGCCCTTCAGCCTATCCGATCTCATCTCTCCAGAACACCCACCCTACTGTTTCCCCCATCATTGCATCAAACTGCTTCTTAAATGAGTCTAGTGTCCTGGCCTCTACCACCTTTCCTGGCAATCTGTTCCAATCATTGTTTATCCTCTGCATAAAGAAACACTTTATGGTAAAGTTGCCCTTTACAATTCTAAAACAATGTCCTCTTGTTCTACTGTCTTGATGCATCCTAAAGTATTAATTTGGGTTTACTTTTACAATCCCTTTTAAAATGTTGTATACCTCTATGAGATCCCCTCTGAGTCGACTTCTCTCAAGACTGAAGAATCCTAGATTGTCTAGTCATTGCTCACAGCTCATTCTTCTAATACTAACACTGGGGATAATCCTTGTTGCTCTCCTCTGCATGCCTCAAGAGTCTGATCAGCCCCTCTTATGTTGAGGTGACCAGAAATATATACAAAATTCAAGCTGCGGTCTGACCAGAGAGCTAACCAGACAGAGACATGTTCCTTCAGCTCATGCACAAGAAAACCTAGTCTGCTGATTGGTAGAAAATTATTCCTGGGCTGAGTAGAGTGCGGTTTTCAACCCTCCTTGGCAGATCAACAAAGTACAGAGTAACCCTGCACTTCGGCACACTGCAGCAAGTATGAATCCAAAACAAGTGCTCTGTGGAACTGCTGTATACGATATGTGTGGAACAGTACCGTCTCCTGGTGCTCAATGGCCAG